GATAATCTTTTGTTGTTCCTGAAAGCAGGAGGATGGAATTAAATGCAAGGCTGGCCTTTTGGTTAATGGTTTAAACTGAGGCCCAGGAGATCGCTTCTCAGTTTCCCATTGGCCACAGACCCACATGGGCACACAGGGCGCATCACTAAATCTAATTTCTCAATGTATTCAGCAAGTTGCTTTTCTTTGTCTCATCCGTCCAGGCCGTGTGCCGTCCTGAGCCAGGGACACCTTTTATTTTGCTTTTATACCTTACAGTTTTGTTCAGCTGATTGATGCCTTGAAACAAGAACTCTGGAAAACCCAGGTTTCATGTTGGCGTTGCTGAGTGAGAATAATAATAGACAGAAATACGAAGTAACAGAAGGGATCATGTTGAATCACAGTATTGTACCAATACAACTAGTGGCATGCAGTGTCACCCACCCCACATTAGCTGCGTTTAGGCACAACGAGATGCATTTCCTTTTCCTAAGACTTGAAAAACCACCTTATATCTGCCTCCCCTGGTAAGTGTGGCCCTTCTCCAAACAGATTCGGTGCTGCTGTGCAGATGGCAGACATCTGCAGAAGAAATGCCTCCTCTTACACGATCCGGTGTTGCTCACATCGCTGCTGTAGGCACAGAGCCACTTGTGTGTTACCTAACAACCACCTCATTAGAGATGAAGCTTCCTCCTGTGAAGGGAGCCAGTGCCACACGTCCGAGGAATTGCTGTAATCCTATTTTGAAGCCTTGATTAGCGTTTATGCTAGCCTAAGCCCTTTCACCTGTAGGTATAAAGACACCAACTGCCACAGCCACTAACGTGCAGTGCTTTATAAAACAGGCAGTGCCTGCAAAGGGAACAAAGTGCTTGTCTACATCCCACCGTTTGGGAGATTACTTAATATCATGTCAACTTGGGCTGCAAGTTTGTGTTATAAAAACAGCAAGGATGAAATCTGTCTTTCAAAATCAAGGAAAGATTCGTCAGACCTTTGAAAATCATCCTCTGGATCAAATGGCTCCAGGATGCCTTGATCCAGTCTTCATCAACAAAGTGAAGAACAAATTCAGTCCAAGAACTATGATTCTGCCTCAACAGCAAGAATTTTTTAGGGTATTTTCTTTCTCACTGCATTTCAGCACCATCTTAAGACCACTACGCAAAAACAGAAACATGACTTTCCCTCATTTTTATCTTCTCTAAAATATTTTTAGACAATGTAGGGCTAGGATAATGCAAAATAGGGACTGACATTCCATTACTAGCTTTGTTCTTCTGTGCCTTAAACTCCTTAACTAAAAGTGGTGAGGAAATGGAAGACATAACCCTGAAAGACTGAAGGAAAATGTGGCATGGTTTCAAGTTGCCTTAGACTATGCTCTGGCCTGATTTCTAGGTGGATTCTTCCTTCTTCTGTTTCAATAACTGTCTACCTGTGTGTTTTGACGCAGTCAGCACAACCCTACCCAGCTGGCTTGCAGCTAGAGGAGAATTGAAAGTATGGTGTTGCTCACATTGTGTCAGGTGTGGGTGCAACACTTTGCCTGGCGATGCAACGTGCACATTTTTTGTACAATGCAAATCCATTGTGTTATTCTCCCTCCTACTTTGTCACCTCCTGGCACAATTCATTCTGGAGAAGTAGGAAGACTTGTCTTGCACTGGAAAATGAAAGCATCTCTTCTCTTGCTGGGGTCTTACAGGAATTAGAGAGCGAACCTAATTGGTGGAAATCATGAAATGTGCTTGTCCAGCCCATAAATTCCAATGCTTTCTCCAAGGACTTTGTTTACTTATAAAACAGCTCAGTCTCCAGTCCTTTAACAGTAACTTGGGAAGCGTAATTTCTTTACCTTCTGTCAGCTCGTAGCTTTATTTGCTCTCCTAAAAGTCTGAGCCTTATGTTTGAGCAGTGCACGACCATTTAATGGCATCCTGACAGAAGGGTCCTAAAGCACACGGAAGCAAAACAGAAGCTCCTCCTGCATTTAGTATTTGCAATATATCGGTAACGTCGCCCAAGAACAAATAAATGGATTTCCTTTGCCACAGGGTCACTTGGAACCCTCTCCAAGCAACTCTAGCATTAGGAGGATTTAGAAAAGTCTTTTGATAATTATAAGCAGAGACTTCTTTGTATTTCTATTTGCATAAAAATGGCCAAAAGAAACAGCCAACTACTATGTCATTGCACAAAATTTGACCTTGTTTCATGTTGCTGCCACGGAGGAGAAAAATCCCTTTAATTTTCCCTATGTGACAAGAGAGCAGTTATATCAAGGGCCAAGCAACTGGTGCTGGTGCTACAGAAAGCAAAAGAAAAAAGCTCTTGAACAAATTCTTAGATTTCCTTCACATTGGAATTGTGGATAAGAGCAATGGGGTTTTTGTTTTCTTTTTTTTTTTTCCTCCTTTTTTTTCTTTTTTTTTCCTGCCTTGCAGATGTGTAATCTTTGACCCAAAAGATTTTTGGACTCCTGAGGCACTGCTAGGAGGTAACAGATGAGAGATTAGAGATGGTGAATGGGGTCTGGGACTCCTTGGGCTCTGGTTGTAGCTGAGAGTGGCATATATGAGAACACACAGCCATCTAAGTTAGCCAGCAAGAGAATCCTAAGGGTACAGATTTATCCAGAGGTGCCCCAAAGCTGCAATCTCTTCTAATTCTGTGTGCACTGGTTTTGCCCATACATTAGTCCATAAAATACAATAGTGAATCCTTCAATTAATGTCAGCAAGTAACGACTCAGCTAGGATGGCTGTTGTTCTCAAGCAGTTAGGTGATAGTGATGGCTGCACTGCCATTGAGAGGCACTGGGTGATGTCCTGGCTAATTAGAATGCTCCCAATTAAAGCAGCCAGTACTGATGGCATGGGAAGAGCGTGGAGGAACAGGCGATTCATCCTGATGAGGTCTTCACAGCCCAACTCCGACTGGGTTCTGAGCAGCAGCCTTTTCTCCTTTCCAAATTGAAACATCTGCACAGATTTTAAAAAATTAGGACTATTAAAATGAGACGTCCTGCACACGGTAAGTATGATGGTTTTCTATGCAGAAGCATGCACATTAAGTTTCAAATTTTAACTTCAGAGATGGAAGAGCTTTGAAAATTATTACAAAAAATAAAAGTGGAAAGTAACTGCCAGATAATTTCTAAGAACTGCACAGATGTGGCAAGCAAATCGCAGAGCAGGACAAACATGGAGATCAGTATTGGAGTATGTGGGCAAGACATGTATGCTTTTAATGCCAAGATTTAGAATTTCTGGACTGCCATTTTCTCTCTCAAGTTTAGATGACTTCATCTTCATTCTTGTGGTTGATGACATCACCAGAAGGGCCTTAACAGTTTTCTGTGTCGTATTGCTGAAAGGAACCAAAGCACACACTGATTTTACTCTTTGATAAGTCTTCTTACAACAAATTCAGCTACAAAAAGAAGCGACATCACTGCCTGCCCTGCCAACCTGAGAAGAGCAGCATAGACCTGAGGAGCATTTTGCACAGTGTTGTTAACACAGCACAAAGGCAGAGATGGAATAAGGCTGACCGGACAGACTATGATGGTGAGTTCTGTCAGCAGCCGCTGAGGTAGGCTAAAGAATGCAGTCAGTAAGTCCACTTTGTGGTTTATAACCCCGAGCTGAGGAGATCTCACAGGAACAATGGGATTTCAACAGTGCAATGGAGTGCAGCCTCAGCAGTTTGCTGATGGCACCGAGCTGAGTGGTGCAGCGGACACAACAGCAGGAAGGGACGCCATCCAGAGGGACCTGGACGGGCTCAGAAAGTGGGCACGAGAGAACATGATGAGGTTCAGCAAGGCCAGGTGCTGCTCCTGGGTTGGGGCAGCGCCAGACATGAGCCCAGAATGGAGAAGAACTCGTTGGGAGCAGCCCTGCAGAGAAGGACTTGGGGTCCTGATGGGCAGAAGCGGGACGTGAGGCAGCAGTGTGCGCCTGCAGCCTGGAAGGGCGACAGCCCCCTGGGCTGCAGCAACAGAGGGGGGGCAGCAGGGAGAGGAGCAGTGAGGAGAGGAGAGAGGGGGTTGTGCCCCTCTGCTCTGCCCCTGCAAGGCCCCACCTGCAGTGCTGTGCCCAGGCCTGGGGCCCCCAGGACAGGAGGGATGCGGAGCTGCTGGAGCGGGTCCAGAGGAGGGCACGAGGATGCTCAGAGGGCTGGAGCACCTCTGCTGTGAAGGCAGGCTGAGGGAGCTGGGCTTGTTCAGCTTGGAGAAGCTTGGGGACCAACTGTTTACATGGTCTGATAGTGACAGGAGAAGGAGGAATGGCTTTAAGCTAAAAGAGGGGAGATGTGGGTGAGCTGTGAGGAAGCAATCCTTTGGTCAGGGCGGTGAGGCGCTGGCGCTGCTGCCCAAAGAGCTGTGGGTGCCCCATCCCTGCAGGCACTCCAGGCAGGTGGGATGGGGCCCTGGGCAGCCTGAGCTGGTGGGTTGGCACCATGATGGTCTTTAAAGTCACCTCCAACCAAAGCCATTCTACGATTCTGTGATTATCGCTCTCTACAGTGCTCTGAAAGGAGGTTGTGGGGAGGTGGGGGTTTGGCTTCTTCTCCCAGGTTACAATGATAGGACAACAGAGAATAGCCTCAAGTTGCACCACGGGAGGTTCAGACTGAATATTAGGAAAAATTTCTTCTCCAGAAGAGTGGTCGGGCATTGGCACAGCTGCCTGGGGAAGCGGTGGGGTCAGCATCCCTGGAGGTGTTCAGGAAATGTGGAGATGTGGCTGTCTGCTCACACAGCATTAATGATGGAAACGGTCATTGAGCAACTGAACCGTGCTACTTTGCACTCTGTGACACGATCAGCTCCGCGCATTTCCCCCCCTACGAAGCACACCCCGCAGCCGCTCTGCTCCGTGCCGCGTTTTGCGGGCGGCCGCCAGCGCCCACCGGCGCGGTCTATTTGAGGCGGGCGCGGGCGGAAGGACACGGCGGTGCCCGCCCGCTCCAGAGAGCGGCGCGCAGGGATCCGCGCGGTGCTGCGGCGCTGTCAGTCACGGCGGCGGCGCCGGGAGGCGGCCGGGGCGCAGCGGGCGGAGCGGGGACACGCGCGGAGCGGAGCGGCGCGAAGGGGACGCGGGGCAAAAACGGGAAGATCCATCCGGAGGGCCGCGTGGTGCTCCGCCCGCACGGAACTGCTATTTCGGAGCGGCCCCTCTCCCCCCCCTCCGGCTGCGATGCTGCCCGCCGCCGCGCTGCCCTGGACGTTGTTTTTCCTCGGAGCCGCAGGTACCGGCGGGGCGATGCCGGCTGCGGGCGGGGGCTGCGGGGCGGGGGGAGACCCGGGCCGGGGGCTGCGGGAGCGCAGACAATGGGCGGCGGGGTGCGGCCGCGGCGGGCGCATTGTGAGCGGCGGGGGGAGCGGCTGCACGGGAATGGGTGCGACCGCACGGGAGGGGATGCGGTCGGAGGGGATGCGGTCGGAGGGGACGCATCGCGAGGGGATGCAGTGCGACCGCGAGGGAAGGGATGCGATTGTACGAGACGGGGTCGCAAGGCAAAGGATGCGATCGCGAGGGGTGTGATCGTAAGGGAAGGGATGCGATCTCGGGGAAGCGGGTGCAATTGCAGGAGATGCAGTTGCACGGGAAAGGATGCGACCGCAAGGGATGCGGTCGCAATTAAAGAGCGGCTACGGGGAACAAGAAGGAAAAAAGGCGAGCGGCGGAGCAGGGCGGCTGCGGCGGGGGAACGCAGCCGGGACGCGGCGGGGGGGCGCGGGGCGGCGGCGCGGGAGCGTGCGAGGGGCGCGCGCCGCGGCGGCGCGGGGAGCGGCGGCCGTGCACGAGCAGCGCTGCCCGCGCGGGAGGGGAGGGGTCGGCGGCGGCCAATCAGCGCCGGGCTGGAGCGGCCCCCGGGTCGCCGACGGCCCCCGCGACCCCCGGGGGGTGGGCGCGGCCCCGGAGCCGGGCAGGTGCAGCGGGAGGTGCTGCCGGAGCCCGCCCCGCGCGGCGCGCTTTCCGAGCACCTGAAGCCCCCCTTCTCCCCTCCCACCCCCGTCTTTAACGCCCAGCATCGTTTGCTGCCCCGCTCCTGCGCGTGTTTATCCAATAATAGTAATTATGAATGCAGAGAGAGCGCCTGGGGAGCTGCGCGGCTGGGACTGGGCTGCTAAAGCTGCATAAAATGATGAATCCCGAGCCCAAATAAAATATTTAAAAGCCAGAACAAAGCGGCAGTGCTGTTGCTGGTAAAGGCGGCCCCAGCCCGTCCGGCCGGCGCTGTGTTATGGGATGCTCCGGGCTGGCACCGACCTCCCCGTGGTGTGATGGGGGAACGCCGTGCTGTGTGTTCCCGTTGGCGCAGTGATGGTTTAATTTACTGCTAAATTAAAGCGATGTTCTCCCGTAACGTAGAACTTGATTTATGGGTCCAGCAGATGGCTCGTCTCCTTTCATTTACATCCCAAGGGCTACGGTTTCATAAATAATAGTCTTTTATGTGAACCTTATCCTCTTGACCTATGCAGAAGTCCTGGCTGGCGTGGTTTTGGGTTGTTGTTTCTTAAAAGACACTTAATATAGCAGTAACTGAATGAATACCCGGTGTTTTAGTCTTAGGGATTGTGGCTGCTCTCCAGGCTGGAAGTGCCTTCGCTCCTCGGCTCATCTCCAGGAGCACGTTTTACAGCCAGAGCTCCTTGCCGCTGGGAAGCAGCAATTCCTTCCTTGTCGTGGGATTTGGGGCTGGGTGTTGGCAGTGGCGGCGTTTCGTTGGGTCGGTCGGTGGTTTTTGTTTGGCATCGCCATGGGTTTGCCTCGACCGGCTGTCAGAAAGCAGAACCAATCGGTGGGGGAAGGAGGAAGGAGCGCCGCATCTGCTGCCATCAGTCTGCAAGGAGCAGAGAAAAGCGTCAGTAAGAGACAAAAGCACGCTTTATTTTCTCGTTTAAAAGGTCGTCCTGCGTTTTGCTCGTTATTTAACACATCTGCTGTGATCGTTTGTGGAGAGAATCTATGATTCTGTTGTTCCTCTAACCCGCAGCTTGCAAATAGCTGGAGATATTCTGGAGTTAATGAAAGTGCGTGCAGAACCAGATTGGGGAGAAGCTGTTCTTTGGTGGTTTGTCGTAGCTTTTATCCGGGGGACTGTTGGGAAAAGTAGGGCCATGTCAGCTTTTTCCAGGTGGAGTGAAGAGGTCGTGTCTTTGTTTTCCTGACTTTGTGCCCTCGCAGAGATATGGAAGGTGGGCAGAAATGGTGGAGCAGTTGTTGTCTGAGGGCTGGATTGGGATTTTGGAGTCGTTTTCAGTGTACAGTATGGGCACCTGAAAGGAGACATCTATTCCCAGATACAAAGAAAGGAAAAACTGTATGTTAAAATACTTCATTTCCCCACCTATGGTCCGAGTCTGATGGTTTCCACTGTATCTAAGAGCGCAGATAATGGCAGCAGTCAGACCTGCAGCACCCAAACCTTCCATGAGAGATGAGAGAAAAGCGTGTGCTGAGCTGTGCTGGGCTGTGAGCAGAGATGCTGATGTGTGTGAGAGCGATGGAAGCCAGCGGACAGCGTTGGTTGTGGCATTTTTGGGGAATGGGATATGAATGGGCTCGGGCGTCTGAGGTTGCTTTTGTTTTATCACTTGCAGTGTGTGCGTTGCAGATACTTTGGTGAAGCTGTTGTTTGGACAGATGCAGAACATCAATAATGGCCTTAATCCCGGTAACGTCAGATCTTTGGGCAGCTGCTGATGGAAAAGCTTCTTTTTGGGAACGGCTGGCAACTGAAGGTTCACACAGTTTAGCAAGTGCAAATTGCTTCAGAAAACCAGAGTTGTAATTTACTGAATTTGGACCAATGATGCTTCCAGCTACATCCAGTTGGACTCAGCGATCCTTATGTGTCCCTTCCCTTACGTGTTCCCTATCCTGTGATGCTTTGTCGGCACGGTGGGGACGGTTTGATTTGCCAGGTGGAGGTGATGACATGGGCGGAGATGGATGCAGCGATAGCTCTGCGTGGTGGCAGTTTGAGATTCGAGCTCAGTTGGTGATGTCCAACCCATGCCTTGAGGAGATGTCTTGGAAAGTGGAGAGAGCCAAAGTCTGGACTGTAGGAGTGCTTTTTGGAAGACGTTTTTTGGTTCCAAAGGGAATGGCAGCCTAAAGCTGTAGGAGGGGAGTGGATGGGTTGTGTGGAGGAGATGTTGGTTGGGTGGTGAGCAAGAACTGGTATCTCCATGGAAAGAATATTCTGAGTGGTGGTAATTGGAATTGTGTGATGTATCCATACAGATGTTAGTTAATTGTGGCTGTAATGAGTTTCTAATGAGGTAGTGAATATTATTTTAAATATTTCAAGTTTTGTAGAATTTGTTGCTGTATTTAAAAAAAAAACACCCTGCTAATTAAAAAAAAAAAAGCTATTATTTGCACTGTATTTTTAAAATGTAATCTTTTTAACAAGAAAACTGGGATTTATAAAACATTCAAATTTCAATTCTTTTTTTTTTTTTTCTTCCAACATCTTTGTAGCTGGGATGTCCAGGGCTGCATTTAAATATGACACAAAAGATGAACGGTCAATTTGGTGTTGTTTACATAATATTGGCAAATCGGTCTTAATGTGTGGTGTTACTGCGTAATCTGAACATAAACAGTGGAAATAATTGAAGGAACCTCAGAATTTGGAAATGCCCGTTGGTGGCTCTTCGCATCCCACAAAAAGCGGGCTGTCTTTGCATATTAATCACTCTTTCAAAGGAAGTTTGCCTTATTTGCATTGTGCATGCACTGAGGAGTCCCATAGTGTGCCTGAGAAAAAAAAAAGGGGGGGGAGAATCGGAATTGTTGTTCTGAAAAGGGTTTTTATTCCATTCAAGTGGAGGGACTGAATGCAGGAGAATTAGCGCAGTGTTGTGTAGAAGAACAGTCCCGTTTGGGCGCTGCGTCGCATGCGGAGCCGGCCTGGTTCTGAGTGCTGGGGGCAGGGTTGAGAGGGGAGCGACTGCTCTGCATGCGGTGTCATCTCTGCCGTGGGAGATGCCCTCAGCTCACCCTGTGTGCAGTCTGTGGTGCCTGCCTTCCGAATGCAGTGACCAAACCTCCAGGCCTTTGGAAGCCTTTGGAAGACGTAAAGGAGATGTAAAGGCTGGGAGCGTCTTCAGGTTGCCTAAATTCTGGAATAACAAGCTGTCTTAGGGGTGATCTGCTTCTTTGCTGCCGTGGTTTTAGGCTGCTGTGACTGGTGCTTTGGAGGAAAGTTGGGTCGAAGCATACGAATCTTGTTGTCTTTTCTCCTTTTGTCTTCTGTCAGCAAATTCAGCAAAGGTGAGCTTTTCTGTTACACTAGGCATCCTTGCACAAGGTAGGATCTAAAGCTCAAACTTTAGAAATTTCAATTTCAGGGAATGGTAGAATGGAAGAGTTGTAGAATATCCCAGGTTGGAAGGGGCTCCCAGGGGTCAAACATATAGAATGGCTCAGGTTGGAGGGCAGCTCAAAGCCCACCCAGTGCCACCCCCGGCCGTGGGCAGGGCTGCCCCCCACCAGCTCAGGCTGCCCAGGGCCCCATCCCACCTGGCCTGGAGTGCCTGCAGGGATGGGGCACCCACAGCTCTCTGGGCAGCAGTGCCAGCGCCTTTTGGCTTCTTCATCATCATCTGGCTCCACACAGCACCAGCTAAAAGTGAACCAGCATGTCTGAAGAGGTGTGCTGGAGAGGTTTCAGTGAGCGATGGCTCTCAAACTGTTTTGCTTGGTATCCTAAATGAGAAGATGTGCAGATAAAACGTGTGGCACGATGTGTGGGAGCACTGGCCTGCTGGTTGAGTCTGTAACTGTGGTTGTTAGGAGCAGTGTTGCCAACACCTTCTGCTTTCAGAACAGGTGAATCCAAATGTATTCCTTTGCTGATATTATTTCTATTGGTGGCAATGAGGAAATAAAGACATCTGTGGAAGGGAGAAAATGTAGCTGGGATAACTGACGTAATTGCTGTACTTTCCGAACCCAGAGACGTTACCATATGCTTGTGTTTAATCAATAATATTGAGCTCTGCTGTTTGCTAAAGACTCTGCTATCTCTTTTCCTTTGCTTATTCTTGAATTATCTACTAATTGGGCATATTTTTTTACATGGAAATAAGTTAATTTTGTGTAGCTAGGAAAACATGAGGTACTTTTCTACTAACATGGATTCCATAAGGTTCTAGCCCAAGTGTGAGCCAGTGGCAGTTTGGGATATTCAGGCTGGCGTGAATTTGCTGCGATTTATTTCTGGAAGGA